ACAACAGGGCATAGAGGCCGAGGCCTTCATAAGAACCTCAGAAGAGCCCTGTTGGGTCAGACCAGGGAGGGTCCATCTAGTCCAGCCTCCTGTCTCACACAGTGGCCAGCCAGGTCCTCTGTGGGCCAACAACAGGGCATAGAGGCCGAGGCCTTCATAAGAACCTCAGAAGAGCCCTGCTGGATCAGACCAGTGAGGGTCCACCTAGTCCAGCATCCTGTCTCACACAGGGGCCAACCAGTTCCTCTGTGGGCCAACAACAGGGCATAGAGGCCGAGGCCTTCATAAGAACCTCAGAAGAGCCGTGTTGGGTCAGACCAGGGAGGGTCCACCTAGTCCAGCCTCCTGTCTCACACAGTGGCCAGCCAGGTCCTCTGTGGGCCAACAACAGGGCATAGAGGCCGAGGCCTTCATAAGAACCTCAGAAGAGCCCTGTTGGGTCAGACCAGTGAGGGTCCATCCAGTCCAGCCTCCTGTCTCACACAGTGGCCAACCAGTTCCTCTGGCGGGCCAGCAACAGGGCCAAGAGGCCGAGGCCTTCATAAGAACCTCAGAAGAGCCCTGTTGGGTCAGACCAGGGAGGGTCCACCTAGTCCAGCCTCCTGTCTCACACAGGGGCCAGCCAGTTCCTCTGTGGGCCAACAACAGGGCATAGAGGCCTTCATAAGAACCTCAGAAGAGCCCTGTTGGGTCAGACCAGGGAGGGTCCACCTAGTCCAGCCTCCTGTCTCACACAGGGGCCAGCCAGTTCCTCTGGCGGGCCAACCACAGGGCACAGAGGCCGAGGGAAGGTACTCCAGCACCCTTCATCAACTTGGCTGCTCTCCTCTGAACTTCTCCCAGCTCAGCCATGTCCTTTTGGAGATACCGAGACCAGAACTTTACACAGTATTCCAAATAAGGCCGCACCGTAGATCTACACAGGGGCATTACAATTTTGGCCATTTTATTCTCAATCCCTTTCCTAAGAATCCCTAACATGGAGTTTGCCTTTTTCAGCGCTGCGACACACGGGGTTCACGCTTCCACTCAGATCTCCACTACAACCAGGGGTCATTTTGTAGAAAAAGAGGTGCAGGAGCTCATTAGCATAACTCATTAGCATAACTCATTTGCATGTGCCACACCCCCTGACATCACCGGAAGTGTGTCAGAAGGCCACACCCACCGCTCAGACTCCACTGGACTGTTTTGGATTGCTAGCTATTAGGGGGGGCATGTAAATCTGCCCTCGCAGAGGAGGGAGAGCTTGTGCCTGAATAAAACTTGGTCTTAAAGGTGCCATTGTTGGATTGTTTTGGACTGGGGGGGCGGGGGGTGGGGGGCTCTGCAGCTTACCTGGTTGCTTCTTGCTCTGACAGGGCTGCTGGGAGCAGGGGGTGGGGCTTGTTGCATGTGCCCACCCCCTGGGCTCCTTACTGCCGGAGCTCCCTCCTGTGCGCTACTGCAGGAAATGACCCCTGACTACAACCGATTTCCAGATGACAGAGATCAGACGGACCACTAGTCTGGTCCAGCAGGGCTCTTCTTCCTGTCCTTATACATTCTAAATGAATTAATTTAGACGGTATGCAATTAATACGTACCAAATTAATTATTTTTATGGCCTGTCGGGGGTTGCGGCAGAGTCCCTAATGGTTTCACCACCCTCCAATTAGGGCCAGAAGTCGTCCTGGAATTGCAACTGACCCCCAAGCGACATGGGTCCGGTCCCTCTGGAAGGTTGCTTTGGAGGGTGGACTCCATGGCATTATAACATAAGAACATAAGAGAAGCCAATGTTGGACGAGGCCAATGGCCCATCCAGTCCAACACTCTGGGTCACACAGTGGCCAGAAATACCAGGGGCCATCAGGAGGTCCAGCAGTGGGGCCAGGACACTAGAAGCCCTCCCTCTGTTGCCCACCCCCGAAGCACCAAGAATACAGAGCATCCCTTGCCCCAGACCGAGCGCTACTATAAGAACATAAAAGAAGCCAATGCTGGATGAGGCCAATGGCCCATCCAGTCCAACACTCTGTGTCACACAGTGGCCAGAAATACCAGGGGCCATCAGGAGGTCCAGCAGTGGGGCTAGGACACTAGAAGCCCTCCCACTGTTGCGCCCCCCCAAGCACCAAGAATACAGAGCATCCCTTGCCCCAGACCGAGAGCTCCTATCTATAAGAACATAAGAGAAGCCAATTTTGGATCAGGCCAATGGCCCATCCAGTCCAACACTCTGTCACACAGTGGCCAAAAAGACCAGGTGCCATCAGGAGGTCCAGCAGTGGGGCCAGGACACTAGAAGACCTCCCACTGTTGCCCCCCCAAGCACCAAGAATAGAGAGCATCCCTTGCCCCAGACCGAGAGCTCCTATAAGAACATAAGAGAAGCCAATGCTGGATCAGGCCAGTGGCCCATCCAGTCCAACACTCTGCGTCACACAGTGGCCAAAAACACCAGGTGCCATCAGGAGGTCCAGCAGTGGGGCCAGGACATTAGAAGCCCTCCCACTGTTGCCCCCCCCCAAGCACCAAGACTACAGAGCATCCCTTGCCCCAGACCGAGAGCTCCTATAAAAACATCAGAGAAGCCAATGTTGGATCAGGCCCATCCAGTCCAACACTCTGTGTCACACAGGAGCCAAAAACACCAGGTGCCATCAGGAGGTCCAGCAGCAGGGCCAGGACACTAGGAGCCCTCCCATTGTCCCCCCCCCAAAGCACCAAGAATCCAGAGCATCACTTACCCCGGAGTCCCTATCTATACCTTGTGGCTAATAGCCACTGGTGGACCTCTGCTCCATATGCTTATCTAATTCCCTCCACATAGGAGTTGGCAACCTACCTAGCTTTGGTCTTTTAAACCCTCTGAGAGACCCTGAACTAATGAGAAGCACGGAACACCCCCCCTCCCCCGGGCAAAGCCCAGAGCTTGTTTTCCTACATTCTCCCCCCCTCCCCAATATTTTGCTCCCCTCCAAGTCCGCTTTTCATACTGGAGTTCAGTGGAAGATGAGTGAACACAGGAATCTGCCTTCTACTGGATCAGACTCTTGGTCCGTCACGGTCAGTATTGTCTACTCAGACTAGCAGCGGCTCTCCAGGGTCTCAGGCAGAGGTCTTTCCCATCACATCCTGCCTGGTCCTTTTAACTGGAGATGCCGGGGACTGAAGCTGGGACCTCCTGCATGCCAGGCAGAGGCTCTTCCACTGAGCCACAGCCCCTCTTTACAGCTCTCCAGGGTCTCAGGCGGAGGTCTTTTCACATCACCTACTGCCTGGTCCTTTTAGCTGGAGGTGTTGGGGATTGAACCTGGAACCTCCTGCATGCCAGGCAGAGGCTCTTCCACTGAGCCACAGCCCCTCTTTACAGCTCTCCAGGGTCTCAGGCTGAGGCCTTTCCCATCACCTCCTGCCTGGTCCTTTCAACTGGAGATGCCAAGGATTGAACCTGGGACCTCCTGCATGCCACACATGAAGCTGCCTTATACCAAATCAGACCCTTGGTCCATCCAAGTCAGTATTGTCTACTCATACTAACAGGTCGTTCACGTCACCTCCTGCCTGGTCCTTTTAACCGGGGACTGAACCTGGGACCTTCTGCTCGCCCAGCAGATGGTCTTTCACCTAACCCTGGCAGCTTTCCCAAGAAGGAAGTCTCTCAAACGGGCAGACTGTAGCCAACAAGCATCTGCAAACAGGGTGGGGAGATGATTTCATGGTCTCTACCGCTATGCCTCTTTTCTGCATTTCCAATGGAACACACACCCCTCCGGGGGTCTCTCCTGCTCCATCATTGATTGGCAAAACCAAAATAGGACCCACGGTAAGTAGGAAATACCAAAACTCAGCAAATACCGTGCTACAGACAATGATCAAATATCTCAGATAATTTTTATATATTTCTTGTTTTATATTTTTTACAATTTATTCACCATATATTATTTATCATATAAGCCTTAATACATAGAAAGCATCATATATCAAAACATCCAAGTATCGTCTCTTAATATATCACAAAAGATATTGCACAACCCCTTTGTTAATAGCGGTCCTCCTTAATTATACAAAAGTTTTAAGAGGGAGGACTCCTTTAAGTCTATTTTGAGGGAGGTCTCCTTTAAGTCTATTTTGAGAGAGGTCTCCTTTAAGTCTATTTTGAGAGAGGTCTCCTTTAAGTCTATTTTGAGGGAGGACTCCTTTAAGTCTATTTTGAGGGAGGTCTCCTTTAAGTCTATTTTGAGGGAGGTCTCCTTTAAGTCTATTTCGAATAGGTGCTCAGTCTTCCTCCAACAGAGGTCCAGATCTCCTCCTGTTTCAGTGTTTTCCTCAGGGAGTTCAACAGATATTTCCAAGCACAAGGTTACCAAATACCAAAATATTTATCCAAATTTTTCAGTGAACGCTGCAGAAAGTCTCTCTTAGTGAGCTCAAAGCTTCCTCCAAAGTGAAAAGCACGTTGGGGCAGATCAAAGCAAGGGGTGTGTGTACCGGTTCTGTTCCTCCCGTCCCAGTCTCCCAATTCCCCCTGCCCAGCTCGTACCTCCTAACTTCGCCCGATGCAGGATGGAGTACACCTCGTTGCCAAAGGTGGTATTGCACTGGTCGTAGACGGCCGCGGCGCTCACGCCCAAGGTCTTGGCGTTGGCTTTCACCCCGCACAAATAGGCGGTGCCCGTTCCAGCACTGTCCGACACCTGCCGGTCAACGTTGTAAGTCTGCCAAAGGAAACAAAGAGGCCACGTGGTTCAGTGCGCCTGGGCACAACATGGGCGGGCAGCTGCACAGCACAGGGCCGAGGGCACCGCTGCACGTTGGCATGAGAAATGGACAAGGACAGGATGAGGGTGGGGACCTCTGCTAGAAGCCGAAGAGGAAATCCCGGCAGCTACGGTTTTGTCTTTTCTCCCCCTATCTGGTCGAAGCGGCACCTGTTGGATTGCTATTGGCAGTAAAGGAGCCTTGTCCGACTTGGCATCAGACCCCTGGGGTTGCCAGCTTTTTAATGAGTCCCTGCTCCTGTCCGTGTAGCTACGATGACCCTTCAGCAATAATGTTTTCTCTGGGCTCCTGAATCGAATTCAGTAGCACCTCAGAGATCAAGAAGAGTTTCAGGGGCTACGTTTTCGAGAGGAGGAGGAGGAGAAGAAGAGGAGGAGGAAGAGGAGATTGGATTTATACCCCGCCCTTCACTACCCAAAGGAGTCTCAGAGCGGCTTACAAACTCCTTTCCCTCCCCCTCCCCACAACAGATAGCCTGTGAGGTACGTGGGGTCGAGAGAGCTCTTGACAGAAACTGCTCTTTTTCAAGGACAGCTCTTGTCAGAACTACGGCTTGCCCAAGGTCATCCAGCAGGTGCAAGTGTAGGAGTGGGGAATCAAACCCGGTTCTCCCAGATCAGAGTCTGTGCACTTAACCACTACACCAAACTGAAGGAGAAGGAGGAGAAGAGGAAGGAGAAGGAGAAGAAGGTGAGGAGTAGGAGGAAGAGGAAGAAGAGGAGGAGGAGAAGAGGAGTAGTAGTTGGTTTTCATATACCACTTTTCTCTACCCGAAGGAGTCTCAAAGGGGCTTACAATCTCCTTTCCCTTCCTCTCCCCAAAACAGGTACCTTGTGAGGCAAGTGGGGCTGAGAGTGCTCTGAGAGAACTGTGACTGGCCCAAGGTCAACCAGCTGGCTTCAGGTGGAAGAGAAGCAGGGAATCAAACCCAATTCTCCAGATTAGACTCCACTGCTCTTAACCGCTGCACCACACTGTCCCTTAACCACTACACTACACTGGAGTCAAAGTTCCTTCTGTCAGACATAAGTACAGTAGAAATGTTGATCTCTGAGTCCTTTTATCCTAGTCAGAAGGTGGGAAGGATGTTGAAAAGAATGCTAGCAAAGGATGCCGAGGTACCATGCATACTGTAATCAGCATGATTAGAGCAGAGGGGAAATGTGGGAGGGGGCATAAAATAAGCATCTGCAGTGAGATAAGAATCCTCTGTCCCTATTCAGCCCTGGGGGGTTCCATTGTTCTGAATTTGTGAATGAACATAATTTTCAGCAATCTCACATTGTAATTTCCCCTTGAAGTTTCTGCGCTGGAGGGCTTCTGAGTCAATCTGGGAATCTGATCCTAAGGACTCCTGAGTTGCTTCACCAGCACAAATTGCGGACAGGGCCCATGAACGAAGGGGTCAGAGTGTGAGTACACCATAGACAAGCACCCCAATGGGGGGACGGGAAATCAGCGTATATATTTCTGTTCCAAGGTGAAGTCACCGTTATGCTGTCGCTGAGATTGACATGTCTCCGTTAGGACAACAGTTTAAGCATTAAAACTTCACTGCAAGGACAGAAAGCCCTTTACCATGCTATGGTCTGTTTGGGTCATTTCTGGGAGAGAAAATTAGACATTTTGTCTTTTATGACTGCATAGGTGGGGGTTTCCAGCCTCCAAATGGGATCCGGAGAGCCAGTTTGGTGTAGTGAGAGAACTGGATTTGTTTCTCCACGCCTCGGTCTGCAGCTTCTGGTGTGACCTTGGGTCAGTCACAAGTTGTCTCAGAGCTGTTCTTTCAGGAGCAGTCCTCAAAAGAGCTCTCTCAGCCCCGCCTACCTCACAGGGTGTCTGTTGTGGGGAGGGGAAGGGGAAGGAGATTGTAAGCCGCTCTGAGACTCCTTTGGGTAGTAAATCCAATCTCTTCTCCTTCTCCGCCTCCAGGAAACACAGCTGATCTCCAGATGGAAGAGACCAGGTTCCCTGGAGGAAAAAGCTGCTTTAGAGGGTGGACTCTGTGGCATTATACCCTGCTGAGGTCCCTCCCCTCCCCAAACCCCGCCCTCCACCTCCCCCAAATCTCCAGGTTTTCCTTTGCAAGCCCTCTCCTAAGGAACATATGCCCCTGATCTAGTTCAGAGTGAACATGGCAGCAGACAGAGACACTCCCTTCCCTGACGCTGACTCCAGTGACACGCCAAGACTCCCACCTTGGACAGGGCAACATAGGGGAATTCCTCCATCGCCAGCACAGCCTCCTCGCCGGGTCCTCCGTCCATCTGGCCCTTAAAGATGCGGGCGGCAGAGATGGTGGGGATGCCCATGCCTGAAACACACCAGCACCCTGGTTAGAGCTGTCAGAAGGTTACAAGCAGGGGTCATTTCCTGCAGGAGCGCACAGGAGCGGAGCTCCGGCAGTAAAGAGTCCAGGGGGTGGGCACATGCAACAAGCCCCGCCCCCTGCTCCCAGCAGCCCTCAGTCAGAGCCAGATAAGTTACAGAGCTCCCCCATGGTCCAAAACAGTACAGTGGCACCTTTAAGACCAAGTTTTATTCAGGTACAAGCTCTCCCTCCTCTATGAGGGCAGATCTGCACGTCCCCCCCCCCAATAGCTAGCAATCCAAAACAGTCCAGTGGCGCCTTTAAGACCAAATTTTATTCAGGTACAAGCTCTCCCTCCTCTGTGAGGGCAGATCTGCACGTTTCCCCTCCCCCCAATAGCTAGCAATCCAAAACAGTCCAGTGGAGCCTTTAAGACCAAGTTTTATTCAGGTACAAGCTCTCCCTCCTCTATGAGGGCAGATCTGCACGTCCCCCCCCCCCCAATACCTGCAAACCCAAAACAGTCCAGTGGAGCCTGAGCGGTGGGTGTTGCCTCCTGACACACGTCCGGTGACATCAGGGGGTGTGGCACATGCAAATAAGTTATGCTAATGAGTTATGCTAATGAGCTCCGGCACCTCTTTTTCTGAGAAATGACCCCTGGTTACGAGGATCACTTGGTCATCTCCTTGGAAGGCTTCTTGTCAACATGACACTGGCAAGGCAAAACACACACAAAAACACTCCACCTCCCCAGTTGCCAACCTCCAGGTGGGTCCTGGAGATCCCCCCAGAATCACCACTAATCTCTAGACTACAGAGGTCAGTTCTCCTGGAGAAAACGGAGCTTACCGTGAAGGTTCCTTTTTCTGGAAGGCGAGGAGGATGCTCTGATATGCTTGGGTTCCTCTTCCCACAATTCCTGGAGGCAGGACATTTATTGCATATTCCATCTCCGGGGAGGCGGGGGGGGGGGCGCCCCCAGTCATTTCCCTGCCTCCACCTGAGAGAACAGTGGATCCAGAGAGCTCCTGAGATTCCCCTGCAAGGAGCTCCTTTGGTTGCACTTTGTTTGTCTTTCCCCAGCTTTGTGCCTTTCCGTGTGCCTCTCCCTTTGTTTAAAAAACAAACAAACGTGGTTCTTCCGGCCTTGTCTTCCTGGGGGCTGCTTGTCTTTTGCCCGCTGCTTCAGCCACCCAGCCACGGTGATATCTGATTAACCGAGACCCCGTTGTTACGCTCCATCGAGAGGAGACGGACAGAGGGTGACAGCAGGGTCTCAGTTAATTACTCTTAGCTGCGTTCGTGTGAGCCGCCTCACAGTTTTTTAGCCTCCGGCTCCACACATTTTTGTCTCAGCTCAGGAGGGGACGGTTCCCGAGCAAACCGACTGACGCAGCAGCCCAATCGCGCGCTCACAATTTTAACGCCAGCAGCTCGCAAAGTAGAATTTCTGCTCACAAGACTCCACAGCTTAGAGGGAGCATTGCTTAGCATTCCACACACCAGAGGGATACATTCACACACCTAGTTTGGTGTAGTGGTTAAGTGCACAGACTCTAATCTGGGAGAGCCGGGTTTGATTCCCCACTCCTCCACTTGCACCTGGCTGGATGACCTTGGGGAAGCCGTAGTTCTGATAAGAGCTGTCCTTGAAAAAGAGCCAGTTTGCAAAACTTCATCTTTGATTATCGGAGAGGAAGTCACATGGAAGCTGGGAACAGCAGCAGATAGGGAAGGAAGGAACCGAATCAACCCAGCACAGCAAAATCAAACAGACTTCCTATTGGGTAATTCCTGATAATGAAACCTAACAGGAGCCTCTTCTGGGACACAGCATTTAGCATAATTAACCCAATCAGGAAGCTTCCGGTTCCGGCCAACGAGGGAGGACGTCTGAGCTGCAGCGCTACTTGACTGGAACAGTATTTTAATTTTATTTTATATCCATTCAATTGCTTTTAGCCTATCTCGCATGGAATTTTTAAAGCACTCCAGGAGAAGAATGCACAGTCTGGAAGATTCTTCTCCCTGTTTAATAGTGATTGGAGACAGATTCTATCAATGCATATGGGGCTAGGAAGACAAATTTTGCCTGAAATCATGAAACACAACTGCTTGGCTTCCATGGACCTAGGTTTCAATACCTTAGAATGGAAGTTATTTGAATACCTTACGGAATTAAATCTGAACAATGGTGACCTTATAAGCTAAGCGTGTTATTCCCAAATCTGATAAACATCTTCATTCTGTTGCATGCTAATTTACCGCTCGACCTCTGCCTATATGTATAGACTGGTAACGTCCACTTCGATGTATCTGAGGAAGTGTGCGAGCACACGGAAGAGTCTACCGAGAATAAAACTTTGTTGGTCTTAAAGGTGCCCCCTGGGCTCAAAACTTTGTTCTACTGCTTCAGACCAATACGGCTGCCCACCTGGATCTGATCTGATTGGAGAAAACGGTGGTTGCTTACCTGTAACCGTTGTTCATTGAAAGTGGCTTCTGTGCGGGCACACATGGGGACTGCAGTAGGCAGGCCGACCACCGGGAGGAGCTAGCGAGCTTCTTTTTAGAATTTTCAACCCGAGAGGGCTAGGCTCCAACGAGGAGGCGGTTTCCCGCCCAAAACACCACCTGACCTGGGCGGAGCCAGCCCTCTCCCCTCAGTTCTCCTCTGCCGCTTATTGTCGCGGAAGACTCCCACAGTGGGGAAGGAGGGAGGGATGTGTGCCCGCACAGAAGCCACTTTCAATGAACAACGGTTACAGGTAAGCAACCACCGTTTTCATTTTCAAGGCTTCTGTGCGGTCCCACATGGGAGATTAGCAAGTTTACTCACTTGGAAGGAGGGAGCGGGAGACTTCAGTGGAATATCGACTGCAGCACAGCCGTGCCCATCGCTGCATCCCTCCTCGCATCAACGTCCATCGCATAGTGTTTGACGAACGTCGAAGGCGTCGACCACGTGGCCGCTCTGCACACCTCCAGCAGGGGCAACCCTGCCTGAAACGCCACAGATGTTGCTTGAGAGCGTGTCGAGTGTGCAGACAACACCAGGGGGCATTGCTTACCAGCCCCTTCATATGCCAATTGTATAGCTTTACAAATCCAACGGGAAATAGTCTGCGACGACGCAGCCTTACCCTTCTTTGACCCACCAAAGCATACAAATAAAGAGGACACAGTACGGAATGGCTGAGTCCTCTGCAAATAAAAGAGCAAAGCGCGCCTGACATCCAGTGAATGTAAGGAACGCTCCGCTTCTGAAGAGTGGTTCGGAAAGAACACAGGTAATATGATGTCTTGTGACATATGAAACTTGGATACTACTTTGGGTAGAAAATCCAAACGTGGACGGAGAACCACTCTATCCTTATGGAACCTGAGAAAGGGTGACTCTGTGGACAGAGCCGCTAATTCCCCAACTCGTCTTGCGGACGTGATTGCGACCAAAAACGCTACTTTGTAGGATAAAAATGATAAGTCACACGTAGCCAGTGGTTCAAAGGGTTTATATATCAAACGAGATAAAACCAGAGAGAGACTCCATGAGGGTAGAGGCAACTGGGAAGGGGGATACAAATTATTGAGACCCCGGAGAAATCTCTTTGCATCTTTAGAAGCAAAAAGGGACACCCCCTTCACAGGTACATGATTAGCCGAAATTGCAGCTAAGTACACCTTAAGAGAGGAATTGGACAAACCTTCCTGTTTGAGGTGGGACAAAAACTCTAGTACCAAAGGCAACCCACAGTTAGTAGGATCGACGTGTTTGCGTGATACCCATGTAGAAAACAGTCTGAATTTAGCCTCGTAAGATCTCCGCGTGGACAACTTACGTGCAGCTAATAGTATGTGTTGCACTGCCGGGCAGTAGGCCGATCGGGCCGAATTCGCCAGGCAGTTAGTTTGAGGGACGAGATCCCCGGTTCGGACGGAAGAAGACCTGACACTAGGTCCGTCTCCTCCGGGAACACTTGGAATTGTCCTTGTGCCAGTGACAATAGGTTCGGGAACCACGCTTGGCGGGGCCAAAAAGGAGCCACCAATATCAGGTCCGCATCTTCTGCATGAGCTCTGGCTACCACTCTGTTTAGGAGTGGTAGAGGTGGGAATGCGTAACAGAACAGACCTGCCCAAGGAATGTCGAAAGCGTCCCCTAGGGAATGGTGCGCATAGGCCGCCCTGGAGCAGAACATTGCGCATTTTGCATTGGCTGGAGTGGCGAAAAGATCCACCATGGGTGTGCCCCAAGAACGGAACAGAGGATAGAGGTACCGCATGTTGATGGACCATTCGTAAGTGTTCTGAAACACTCTGCTCAGATGGTCGGCACGAACATTCAACCGGCCTGCTATGTGGATGGCCGTAACGTGTGCCTTTATTTGTATGACCTGGTGCCACAATTTTAGGGTCTCTTTGGTGAGGGCCACTGACGTGGTACCTCCCTGCTTGTTTATATAATATTGCACAGTGGTGTTGTCTGTGTGAAGCATCACCCTGCGTCCTTGAAGTTGCGCTGCAAAAGAGGAAAAGGCACATCTCACTGCTTTCATCTCTAAGATGTTGATGTGTAACCTTGATTCCCCTACGGTCCACAGACCTTGCGCAGCCAAACACCCACAGTGCGCACCCCAACCCAGGAGTGATGCATCAGTGTACAAATGGGTGTCATGTTTCTGGAACCCAAAGGGGATCCCCGCAGCTATGTTTGATGGCGATAGCCACCAGTCTAAAGATTTGAGAACTACCCGAGGCATAGTTAAGCTAACTCGGGGTGAGTGTATATGAGCGCGGAAATTGCGCAGAAACCAAGTCTGAAACACCCTGAGATGTAGCCTGGCAAAGGGAACTACCGAGGTGGTAGCAGACAAATGTCCCAACAGGCATTGGAAAAATGAGGCATGCCTGCGTCTAAGGTGGCGTAGGGCTCTGATGAACCGTGCAATCCGCTCGGCTCTGATCGAGGGCAGGTAGGCTCTTGCCGATACGGAATCCAA